TATATATATATATATTAATATAATAATCTCGAATCTCTCGCAGCGCTAGTTTATCGGCCATTCATCCTCACGCATCTCAGCGGAAATATACGCGCACAATAGTGTTATGTACACAATTACAAATACGAATAATATCTATATATCGTCACAACATGTCATCAATAGTGTACAACACATTCGATTCGCAGCTCTCTCTTCTCGCGCAATAATAATTCGCAATAATAATCGTTTACTTTGTCTAAGTTGATAAAAGTCTTTCTCTGGTCCAAGAGAAGTTATAGATACTTAGGCACTTGTTATCTCGTCTAGAATCCATATACGCATGAATCATGAGTAATTATCGTGCTAACCGGTAATCATCGGAATAAGAATAACGAGAGTAATTAATAATGAGAAGAATTAACAATAAGAGCGATCATCCGCTGTGTTTTTCATATCCTATCTTAACTCTTTACGATTCGAATTTTTTTATTTTAACACTTTTTTATTTAATTTCGTCATGTTGCTTATCTGTTTATATAAGAGAGATTTTTACTGTCCAATAGGAAATTATAGTGAGATAAAAAGTTACGCCAGAATACTCTTATAAGATAATAATAAATATTCTATAATAATAAATATTCTACGAAGCATCGTGAAAAGTTAAAATAGATGATAAGTTTTAAAAACAAAACATTAGATCGCTATAAAAATAGACGAATTAAGATAATTGAGAAAAATTCATTTTTATAAGATTTTATTTAATATTTAACATGAGAAATTTTAAATATTCATAATTTCAGATGTTTCGATTTCTGTATTTCTCTTTTTAATACTGATGCAAAATTTACGTTAATATTATATCTTTTAATCCTGAAAGAGAAATTTACTTTCTGAATTTCTAATTTATTGTTTTCAGACGCTTTTTTATATTAATTAAATTATATTACTATTTAAATTTATATTATTTCAAGAATTTTTTAATCAATCACTAAAATCAATGAGAAGTTTCGTAGAACAATATTTCCTATTACTTTCATTTTAATTCATCTATTTTCTGTATGTGGAGGACACGCGGCGTTCGCCGTATCTCCCTTGATCAGAAAGAATCGAACCGGAAATCAAAAATAGAGATTAACGTTAAATCAAAACAAATTTCTACAGGATTGTTACTAGAGAAATAAACTCAATCCCGTCGGGAGTCCAGATCCCGGGATGTTCCGTCGATTTTAATCTCGCGATCGTTCGACATCAAAAAATGAAGTTCCGCGCCGCGATGATTCCTTAGATCATTCCGATCATTCGCGGCGAAAATACATCTTAAAAGTCTATATATTCTTGTGCCTAAACGAACAGCAACTTGCTTCGCTCTATCATAACTCGCACGCATCTCGTCCGAGATATCATGTCAAGTTAGCGAGCGATTCGCATGACTCAAAAATGTCGGATAAACACGCGCGTTCGGTTAGAAAATATTTGCTCGAACGAAAATACGCGTTCATTGGCGTATCACGGGATGAACATCTCGACATCGAGCGGTCGCCCTTCGTCATGATTTTGGCCCGCTTTTTCTTAAATTAAACCAGCGTTTTGTCGAGTGACATCTCTCAATCCGCACCTAACTACAACTATACATATTCAGAACAGTTTATAAAGCGTCCTCAATGCTTTTCGAGCAACAACAACAATGGCGATTAAACCCCGTGCAGTCTGAATCCATCGAACTCACGCGATTGATTCAGATCCTGACGAGGAGGTCACGATGTTTCTTCGCAGTTACTTCATGTTAACTGGTGATCTCGATCTTTCGGCGACTACTCCCAATGAGGGGGAGTAAGAATTTTCGGGTTACGTGGACGATGTTCGCGTCGCAGCGAGCTTCTCGTCCTGCTAGGACGGCGATTGTCGCTGTTGCTGTTGTTGTCGGTTACTACTGCGACGGTAGCTGGAAGAGTGCAGCTGGCGATAGACCGGCTGACTCGGTGGCTGTTCCTGTAATGGTTGATAACCGATACCGGTTGTGGTCTGTTGTTGGGTGCTCCACGGCTGCAGCTGTTGCTGCTCCGCGCCCTGCTGTAACTCATAGGTCAATGGCTGACCACGTCGCTCCTGAAGGAGTAACTGATGAGCTGCCTGATCCATCTCCTCGCGCGTCATGTCCAACGCCTCTTGCATCTCACGCGACGTGTATCGTACGAAATCCGGATCACAGAATTTGCCCAGACCTTGTTCCACCAGGACCTGAAAAAACGTATGATGCAGCGTTATTGAAAAATTGTTTTATTATTTTTAAGTTTTGATTTATCTTTTTTTATGATAAAGGTGAGTCAATAATTAACCTTTATTTTTTCCTTAAAAATTAAGATGCAGTTAAAGTTACTTATTGACTGATTCTTATCCTTTATTCTAAAACTCACCCGTCCAACGAGGCTTTCCGCGCTTCCAATGACCTCAAAGTTCGGCTTCCGATCCGCAGGACTGCCGGGCATACTGTGGGACAGGCGCTCTGCGCCGACGCTTCCATTACTCTCTCTGGCCCAGGAAACTGACGAACGAGGAGAGGCGTCAGAGTGTTAGCTCGAATAAGTCACACCCTGCCTCCTTATCGTTTTCGATTTACTTTTGCCATTTGCATTAGCGAGCATAGCACACATAAACTGATTTAGTGACACACGAATACTTCTTTCAAGCTTTACGAAATTACTAGTATTAGGTGTGTTAATCGAATTGCAGTTAAGAATAAAGCATTAGGTAACAAGACTGTTAGGAAATTAGTTTGAAAGCTGACAGAACGCGTGCTTCGAGCAGCGGTTGACCACCTGAGCAACACTTTGCTTCGTATCCACGTCTCTCTTCGTATATTTTTTGTCGTCGATCCCTCTCGGGAAATTTTGTCATGCAGGGGTTGTTCGAATGAAAAATGATTGTACCTTACACGTCAAGCTGTCTGCTTTTGTAGATTTTACATGTTAGATTCATTCGATTTTCATTCGAGAAAATTATTTTTACTGCTTTATAATCATTTTACACCAAATCAAATTTTAATTGTTAAACTTATTCTTTTTTTTTTAGGAAAGAAATAATATTTAATAATTCTGTGCTTTTTTTTATGAAAATGATAGAAATTATCAAGGAGAATTACAGAAATAATTGAAGTATAAATCAAGAAAATGAAGAATAAAATCTTGAACAAATGAAATAAGAGAGATTATTGCTCATACATTGTTATTTTATTGATCTTTTGCGATCGATAGTTTTAAATAATTAAATATTTAATTTTTATCCTGACTTTGTTAAAATATTATCTGACATAATAAATTCCATACATAGTTACTTTATTACTTTACAAAAGTTTAAAACAGATCCTAAAACTTCTATAAATTTCTATAAATCATAACTATGTTATATATCATAATTATAATTTTTTCATTTATCTAAAAGATAATTTACGATTAGTTGTTTGAAAAAATAAAATGTTGGACAATATAACTATAAAATAACGTAAAATAACGTATACGTAAATTGTAAATAATTTTAATCGTTCGAAAAAGTAATCGTAGTATATCTATACAATATACGATCGCAAAAGATTTATTCGCGTGGTTTAGTCACCTCTGCCGTGGTAGGATGACGCTCGGTGTGACAAGCAGGAGGCGCAGACGCGCCATTGTCGCGAATCGACATCGGCGAGGAAGCCGGCCACGGCGATCGCTTGGTTCTGTGCCATTTTAAGGCCATTGGCGACAGTGCGCGAGCCAGGACCTGACGACGAAGCGGCACCGGCCGTGGCGGCTGCAGCGGCTTCATCCCGCGACCGGAAGCTCGCTGGAGCCGACTTGCCACCGGCGGTCGCAGCATCATGACGGGCCTTAGCCCGGTGCTTCGACGACCGGCCGCCCAACACGGTGACATGGGGTTTCCCTGTCGTGCCTCGCGCCACGCCACCCTCCGAGTGCGGGTTCCACTTGCCGGAATCACTCGATCCGCTTCCGGTTGACGTGTCCTCATCGTCACAGTCGTCTATGGCTGCGTGCGAGGACACGGGGACGTTTATCAATGGGAAACAATGCCTAATCACGCTTTATTTTTCGCAAGTCAGTCTTACTATGTTGGCGAATGCGACGAAATTTTATTGAATAAAATTAAAAAAGAACGAGAAACAAAATGTTCAATATATATATAAATACAATCTTAATTTAATATGTTGTTAATTTTATTTGTTTTATTTTTTTTATTAAATAATTGTTTATTGTATGTTTCATTTTTCTACAATCATTCATTTATTTTTATGTAACACCAATACTTATAATAGTTTTAATAATAATTTCCAATTTTTCTATTTGTATTAAATACTCCAGAGAATTTAATTTTATAGGTAAATAAGTAAAATGAATTATAAGTAAATTAATTGACTGGAAAGTGAAACCAATATGTCAGTAGATTCCTTCGCCAGCACAGCAATTTTGCGACTCACTAACATCCATTTCTATCAATATAGATTAGCTTTAATTTCAATTCAATTTACCCTTCATCTTTTTCTAATTCTTAGAAGAAGATAAAAAGTACTCTCTAAAACTTTTTGAGTAAATTATTACTCTGAAGAGTGAAATCTCGTTCTTAAAGATTGAAAATTGAACCACTGTTTTTCTGATTCAAATTTCATTCCTTAGAGTGATATTCAACTCCAAAGAAGAGTGAGTTAAACCGAGATTAAAGTTAATCTACATCAGTAGAAATGAACATAAACTGGCATTCCCATACCGTGATTGCTCCAGACTGCGCAATCGACGCAGCAGCCTCGCGACGCGTAGGTATAATAACAGTTCGTCCCGTTTGACGAGGAAGCGGGGCTTGAGCTCGTCGCGGTGGTCGAGGTGTTCGCGCTCGTGGTACACGACGTGGTGATCGTCGTCGTCGCGACGCTCGACCCGCTCGTCGTGCCGGCCGCCGCAGATGCTGCTGCGGTGGCTGCCGTCGCTGCCGTTGCTGCCGCTGTGACGACAGGGGTGTGCACGGCGCCGACGGTGCCGATGATCGGAGTACCGGTGGACGAGGACGGTGCGTTCCGTCGCGGTGGAGGCGTGGGTGGCGTCAACTGCCGCTCGATTCCGTCCTGAAGACTGCACGAGCGTGCACACGCACACGCGGGATAGGACGGCGAAGGAAGAAAAGAAAAGCGTAATGGCCGTTCTTAGTATGTTAATGCATGAACATGTTATGGCAGATCCATGAACCTCCGAAAAAAGCCTCGAGATATTTTACTTAAAATAACAGAAGGATACTCTTAAGTGAAAATCTGAAATACTGTAGGGAAAATTTGCCATCTGAAGGAACACAAACATTAGATATCTTCATCAAACCTTTTAATTTGAGATGATAAATAACGGTTGTTTCTTTAATATGGAAAAATTTTTTTCTTCTTCTCATCTCAGATCTTTCTTTTATTATTTATTTTACTTTTGTGTATTAGATTTAATCATTCAAGATTTCGTAAGAAGAAATCTACTATGAGATAGGTATGTGTTATTTAATCAAAAATAATTGAAATTAATTTTTAAAATAGTATAAAAAAAATTAATATTGGGTATGGGAAAAAGTTCGTGGCGATTTTTTAGTAAAATTAAAGTGTTTTTCTTAGAATATTGAAATCAATTTATTTAAATCAAATATGCTCCATTATTTTCTCTAATATTTTGCCTTTTTTGGGGCAGAGCCATAATTCCATCGCGATAGAACTTCTGTAGTTTCTGATCGAAAAACTGCTTCAAGTGATTTTCACAGGCCTCTTTTGAAGTTAGCTTTACACCATTAAGAGAGTTCTGCAGAGACCTAAACAAATGATAGTCTGAAGGACTATAAGGTGCTATGTCAGGACTATACGGTGGATACATTAAAACTTCCCAGCCAAGCTCTCGCAATTTTTGCCAAGTCATCAAAGATGTGTGTGGTCGAACATTGTCATGATGGAAGACGACACCTCTCCTATTAATTAATTCTGGCCGCTTCCTCTCAATTGCTTGTTGTAATCTCTGCAGTTGTTCACAGTAGAGTTCGGAATTAATTATTTGATTGGACGATAACAGCATAGTGGGACTGGAAGGGAATCGTTCACTATGAGTTATCTCATAGTGAACGATTCCCTTCCAGTCCCACCACACACACATCACCTTCTTCCTCGTCAATCCAGGTTTTGCGATTGCTTGCGCCTTCTCTCCTTTCTTTATCCATGATTTTTTTCTAGTTGGATTGTCGTAGGTGATCCATTTTTCATCACCAGTTATCATTTTCTTCAGAAATGGTTCAATTTCATTCCGTCTTTCAATAGCGTATCATAAATGTTAATTCGGTCCATCATGTTCCTAACACTCAACTCGTGAGGAACTCAAACATCGAGCTTCTTTTTGTATCCAGCTTTGTATAAATGATTTAAAACTATTTTGTGGTCGATGCCTAGTTCCCTGGCAATCTCCACAGTGCTCACGTGCTTACCATGCTCGACTTTTACCATGATTTCATCGGACTTTTCAGTGATTGGTCGGCCGGAGCGAGATTCATCTTTCACATCGAAATTTCCAGCACGAAAGCAAGCGAATCATTTCCGTGCTGCTGATTTTGATAGAATATCTTCATCGTAAATAGCGCAAATTTTTTCACAAGCCTGTTGTCACAGCATTCTTGCCTTTATCGTAGTGATACTGCAAAATGTAGCGAATTTTTTTCTTATTTATTTCCATTTTCAAAATAAAATAACTTTTGATCCACTTCACCGATTTCAATCTTTTTCGGCTCAAAACAAAGGTTAAAATATCATTTTTTAAACGCACGTCTAGCATCTTGCCGATGCGATTAGTAGTTGCCGACTGCTGAGCATTTAATGCCATCTAGCGGGAAAAATGCCACGAACTTTTTCCCATACCCAATATGTGTTTTTTTTAGAAATGTGCGAAGACCCGAAAATATCGAGAATCTAATGATCGAGACCGGTCGGGAAAACATCGGATCGAGTTGGATCGGGTCTCGAAAATTTCGAGATTCTTGAAAGTATCGGGATTTCCGAAAATGTTTGGATTTCTCGATAAAATCTCTTCTCGATGTCCGGGATTTCCGAGGGAATTGAGATTCTCGATAAAAAATCGAGATTCCAAGAAAGAATTTATATTTCCGAAAATTTCGACAACCTGATTGCTACTTATAAGAGTCGTTTTAATAAATCTTAATGACAAATTCTATATTTACGTATTTGATGATTACAATTATAAAAACAATTACAAAATTTTTATTAAAACGAGTCTCGAAAACGGTAATCGAATTTTCAGGAAAAGCGACAGACTCGAGAATATTGAATCCATCGAGAATCTTGATTCTTTCAAGAATCTTGATTCTTTCGAGAAACCTAACTCTGCCGGGAATCCCGATTCTATCAGGAATCCCGAACATTCTCGACTCTGTTGGGAATCCCGAAAGCTTCGAGAACCCGACCCGATAAAAATTCTCAATCTGTTCGCGTTTTCGCACCTCTAGTATTTTTGTTATAAATCAACCTAAGAGTCATTTTTTTCATCGAGGCATTTGGAGGCGCTTAAGCATTATCATCAATATGTAGCGATAATCTACTATTAGTAGTAGTAGTACAAACAACATGCGATCAGCATAAATATTATCACGGGCGGGACCCAAATGCATTCTTTTTGCATTTTGAAATACATGTGCGACCCGCACGTCTAATTATCCTCGCAATCTTGCAAAATCAATTCCCGTTTAATCAGTTTTTACATGAATATCATATCTGAGTTCTTGTAAAAACGTAGTTGAACGGGATTTTCAAAGTGTAATTAATGAAAGACACATGCAGCCGCGCAGAGCAAGCAATGCGACTCAACAAAAAAAAAAATAAAAAAAATGATGGAAAGCCAGCTACTGATCGCCCTAACTTGTCTTACCATATTCGCTATTGGGATGGAGATAGTTACCGCTACCCGATCCACTGAAACGGTACGATAGTAAACAGAAAAGCGAAAGGGATAATGAGAGATGATACAAATCGACCCGCTCTAAGAGATGAAATAATTTCTCACAAGTGAGAAAATTTAGCTAAAAGTTATCTAAAAATATTGAGGATTCTAATTTATGATTGACAAATAAATTACAAATTGATAAATTGATAAATCGCATCGTCCATTTTTTATCATTTTATATTATTGTGCGTTTAACAAAAGAGAAAATAAAACGTGATGTAGCGTTTTATCTCGACTGTGTAAATTTAGGGGATTATTTCGTATAATGAACCAATTAAAAAGTGAGTATCAAATTGATGAACGTCCTGCATGCACCATTACGTGAGAAAAATAGAAAAAAATAAAATCTTTATGAGAAATAATAACTATCGATTACGGATATGATAATTCTAATAAAAACAGGACACTCCCTGCAATTTATCGCACTTTCGTTCGCTCTGTACTTACTCGACCACTTTGTAAGACGTTTGTTGTGCCGGATTACCGAAGACAGCGAGTGGTCTTAGAGGTATATTCTCTTCGACTGCCAGTCGCAAATCAGTTCCCAACTGATTCATCGCGCCATCGCTTAAACCACTGTAGAATTATTTTTTTTATACATCAATTCATAATTCGTAATTAATATGATTGAACTAGCATTATTTAATAAATTAATAACTTTTATTACAGTCATTAAAAAGAATGTAAACAATGTTCTTTAGATTAAATTTTAATATTCATGATCGAATAGAAATGTAAAGTTATAAAGATTAATGGCCGCGTCTACCAATGTAGATTAATTTTAACTTCGAGATTCAACTTATTTTTTATCTTTTTCTAATATTTAAAATAGAAAAATAGAAAAAGAATTAAAAATAGAAAAAGATGAGGTGTTATAGTTGAATCAAGATTAAAATTAAATTACATTAATGGAAACACAGGCAATAAAGTGTTCAAAAAATTTTGCAAATGTCTAAAATAATAATAGATAGAAATTGGAATTAGAATTGTAAAGACATTTGGAATTGAAAGAAAAATTATTGAAGAATTTAATTTTCATTTTTTGCGCCTAATATATATCAATTAAAATACGTGAAAAATTACCCTGCTATATTTGGCACAATTTGCTGAGCGATTTGTCTGGTGACATCCGTGACGGCGGTTCTCCGTAACGAGGCATACGGTAGAAAATCTATGGAATTGGTCGGAGAAGCCTGTAAGAAAATTTACGATTAGAACAATCGACAGAAATTCTACATCAAATTTAAAACATTACGTGCCTTCGCAGCGGTAGAATTAACCTTCAGCGATTTCGCTCTATGAAAGTGGTGTCCTTTTCGCATGCTGGACCATACGCTGCCAAAGAGCGAGTGATTTCTCTGAAAATATTAAATAATTGCATATATAGAAGTTACTATTCAATTACATTAATAAATTTCTCGAAATATATAAAAAGACCGCTGTCTCACTCTGTGCATAGGTTCCGGATTGTCGTCGAGGAGTTCTTCTAAATTACCGGAAATCGCGCGTTTTAATTCAGGGCCAGCTTCGTGTAACGTTCTCAACCCGGCCTTTTAAAATATAATTACATATAACAAATAATATTATATATTAAATATCCAAGCATGATCTTAAATTACTATATTTTAAATATATCAACTTCTTTTAAATTAAAAAAAAAACTTACTTGAAGAGTCACGGTGTTGTGACAATCTCTATCACCGTCCTTCATTTCCTGTTCTTTACGTTTCTTGAATCGACGGAAATAATCCTGAATAAGGAAGGTCGCGTAAAATTTACCGACCGTCACCTCGTCGTCCACTGGAAAGATCGATTCGAAGTGTAAATTTAATTTCGAAAGAAAATCAATTTTACGATGGAGAAACGTTTACCTCCAGGTGGTGGTACAACTTGATCTAAAAGCTTTGGACTAGTCCTCTTCCAGATCTTCTTGATTACCGCCCTAAGTTCGGCATTTGCGTCATCAATGTTGCCCTCCGTCTTTATCCTTAGTGAAGTTCTCACGACGGCAAATAAAGTCGCGTTGAACAATACAGTGCCGTCACTGTTGAGCGGCATGTTCATTGAGACGAGTCTCTGAATTTTTAATTTCAAGATATGATTCCATTAATTTAAATTTTACTTTGAATTATACATCATTCTCTTTCTTTGTTCATTAAATACGAATTATAATTATATAAATTTAACGTGTCCTTCATTAAAATTTATATAATTATGATTATGATATTATTAATTTCATTTACTAACCTTGCAAGCTACCCTATGGGGACACAACTTTCCGAAACCCAAGGGTGGCGATATTTTCCTTAGTAACGTTACCACGTCGAGATGTTTAATTCGACCCTTAGCGTCGGGATCATACTCGGACCACAGGCGAATAAACTCGTCCAAGTGGTGCGGCCCGAGAATCGACCAGTCTCTCGTTAAGTAGTCGAAATTGTCCATAATAACGGCGACGAAAAGGTTAATGATCTATTTTTTCGAGATACATATTAAATTTTAAAACTCTTTCTCAATCGAAGATCTAAATCAGTGCTGAGATTTACTTGCATGAGAATTTACACGCGAGTTGGCGAAGTAAGGAACAGGAACCAAGTTGAAAATCGGCCGAAATGTGCAAGTAGGGAAAATATGTAAAGGAATTGTGCGCAGCGAGTAATTGTGCGCATCCTGGTTTGGTACTTTTCCAATAGATGAAGATATCACTGTGGTAAAATTTTTACGTCGTCCTTTTAAGATATAAGTACAAAAGATATGATGTAAATACATTGCTAGTTAGAGAAATACAAAAAAGTGAAATCACATCTTGTTATTTTAGAAAATTCAGAAAATAAGGTGGTAAGTCCGTATTTTTAATTTGTTTGTTTAAAGTACATACCATTCTTCCATTTCATATGACTTCCATATATTATATGACTAGCACTAATTTTTTTTATTTTTTCTATATTATTATTTTATTTTGCCATTTCATTTTACCAAAGTCTGTATGTGCATTATTATTATATTAGTCTTTTTTTTAATATATATATATATATTTAAAGTATATTTAATATATATTTATGTTGCAATATAATGAATATATTTTCTTTGTCAGCATTCCATAATTTACTCATTTCTTATGACTTTTGTTTTGCGCACTTTTGTTTTACCCGACGCGCGAGAAATTTTTTCGCTTTTTTCCTTTTGGTTAAATACAAACTTATTGAATGAAAATCTGTTCGATATGAGGACGTAATGATAGAAGAACGTGTTTATAGTTAGAAGCGTGTTTATAGTTTCTATTTCCATGCTTATATCGCTTTAAACTTGGAAAACCATTCCAGGGCAATAAATTTCCCTTAGGTGCGCACAGTTCCTCCACTTTCTCCTAAATCCCAGCGCTGATCTAAATAATAAAATAGAACTAATATGAGATAATTACAAGATGCACTTACGAGAAATGAACAGAGAACATAGAAGGATATGAAGTAAGGAAATGCAATGTCCGACCCGCAGATGTTGTTGAGTGTCTTGTTGTTGTGTTCGTCGCTGTTAGAATCACATTTGACACTTGGTTGCGATGAACAATCCATCATTATTTCTTGCCACGCCTCACCTATGATCACAAATACTCGATCGATTATCATTTTGTTCAGTAATTACTTTTATCTTCGACGGCTAATTATATAATATTTCGCGATTATATATTTTAATTGATAAAATTTTTATGCCTCGGTAGTCTCTTAGGACTCGCACAGAATGCAAGAGAATCGAGTTTGACTCCCGGCCAAGGTATTTTTCGCAATAAGAATTCATTATTTATAGATTTTAATTGTTATGTCATTCAACATTATTAAGATCATTTCGAAGATGCGAATAAGCATCAAAAATTTATTAAATTGCTAGTCAATTTAACTCGTGATATTACTGCGGTAGTTTAGAGTTAGCGTTTTAAGACCAAAAAATCATTTCGGCGCGCGTTTCTAAGGACTACATACGTAGTATATAAATTCACACAAGAATTATACAAGCATTTAAAATCCAGTTAGATCGTTTAAGGCTTTGATTTCTATAATTTGTGTCATATGATTCTATAATATATTATATTGCATTTTAAATATTGCATTTCTGCTAAACGACCAAAAGTTTGATTAATCGTAAAATTTTATCTTTTAATATCAAAAATATAAGCCAAATAAAACATATATACCTGTTGCTGATCTAAACAAAACCAATACAGCTTGCGGAAAGGATTGGAAATTGTTATTGCGATTTATCGCCGTATCGTCGTCTATCGCGATCTTTCCAAAGACCTGAAAAGAATCGTTCGCTTAAATTACCGTCGTTTATGTACTTCAAACACGTGTTTTTCCATCGATCAACATTTGCTTACCTGCATGCCTATTACAGCGTAAATGAAAAAGAGCATTATAATGAGAAGAGCGACATAGGGCAAGGCCTGAAAAGACTTGATAAACGTCCATAAAAGTGTTCGGATACCCTCCCCTCTGCTCAATAACTTGACCAATCTCATTACACGAAACAGTCTAAAGAAATTAATGGAAATAATGCTGGATCCGGGCTGCAAGGATGACAAAATAGTTTTTGTTACACACAGTTTCACTTCCTCCCCTTAAATATGATTGCGAATATTACCTCAGGTATTCGATCAAAGTCGAGCGCAACTGATACTCACTTTAAGTTCCGAATAAACGATATCGATGAAACTTCCGAGCACGATAACAAAGTCAAATACGTTCCACGCATCGCCGAAGTAATTCTGCAAATTAATTAACGAACTTGTTTATGAGCACAACTAACACTATAAAGTAAATATAAATGCAATATATAAAATGAAATTAAAAATGAAACATTTCGAAAAACAAATGTGAAATGTAAAAAAATATGATTATAAAATTACACAATGCGAGTCTGCACCTTAAATCGAAATGCGGCCAACTTAAACACAAACTCGAGAGCGAACACAGCGGTGAAGATCATATTGAGAACATCCAGGACATCCGTGTAGACCTGCGGTTGTCGATAAAATTTCATCGCGAGTGTCACAGTGTTGATCATAATTAACGTGAATATTGTATACTCGAATGGTTGGGAGGTGACGAACCACCAGACTTTGTATTGTATTCGATGCTTCGGTATATATCGGCGCACAGGCTTAGCTTTCAACGCGAACTCGATGCAATTTCTCTGTAGAAAGAAGCGATTATTAATCTTTCATGATGAGATTCTTCATGTAACCTCGAAATATTTCAGAAGAAAATTATTACGGAGTTACATAATGATACTCAATGCCCATTATTTTTTTTTCAAGTTTAATTTTTATTAATTTTAACATGATGATTGTATTATATTTTGTTTTCAAATATTACAGTTTGATATATTTATAAAGCATTTTTTGAAGCGTTTGTTTTAGAGTTGATTGAAAATGAGAATATTCTTGAACATGATCTCTTCATTGATCTGTTATTGTATATTAATGTTATTATAATTTGAACATAACAATTAAACAATTAGTTCAATACTCGTGTGATTCACCTGATTTTTATCGAGCTCGCAGTTTTTGTACTCTTGCTCGCCCTCATTCTGGAAGGTGACAATAACGAAACCGACGAAGATGTTCACCATGAAGAATGCGATAATAATGATGTAGATGATGTAATAGGCGGCCACTATTGGCCGAAAGTTATGAATTGGTCCTTTTTTTTCTTCGTTCGAGTCGATTGACCACTCTAACAGTCTATTAGTAGACACGAGAGACAACATTTACTATCTGATATTTTACATTTAGAACTATTTATTTATCCATAGTTTTCTTAATGCTGTTAGCAAAATTACATTTATCAAAATAATATATGAAAGATGGGATACTTATCGATAAAGAAGCAAAGAACAGTAAAATAAAAGTTTAAGAAAATAACAAGAAAAAGAAAAATATATGACAAAGCAATTCTTAATGGAAACTTTGTTGTATTGATATTGAGATTGTTGTAAAAGCAAGTTTGAATAAGTAACCTTTTGTACTGTATTTAATGTATTCCGATAGAAATCGAAACAACGTTCTTTGTGAACGGAATGCAAAATATACTTACGATGGCCAACCTTCGAAAGTCGAGACTGTAAAGAGGGTCAACATCGCCTTGGCAACATTATCGAAATGAAAACGATGTTGTTGCCACTCTCTATGTTTTACGATCGGCTTGTCAATATTACTGTTTTCGAATTCCAAATAAGTACCCCTGAAAACGAGAATTCTTGCATCTGTATTCTGAATGTGTGATCTATATTTGAAATTTTCTATTGTTCGTGGATTAATGAGAAATTTCTTTATAAAAATTTTTCCTTCTTTACATTCAATATGTTTTTAAATTGGATATGTTCTCTCCTCAGCACATTATTATTATATGCAAAAATTATTAATAACTTTTAAAGATATTTGTTTTTCACGTTACAATTTCTAAAGAACCTTGCACAAACTTTATGGAAATTGAATTTCAGTGAATTGACTGAAAATTTGACATGTTGCAGATCTTCTCATCCTGCTAAAAAGTTTTCATAGGCATGACCTCTTATCATGGGGTCCGTTTAACTTCTACGAGGCGTCACTTTTCAAAACGTTTAATTCTACAATATTTTATTTTCAACGAGTACGCATTATTACATTATTTCTATATGTATACTTTTAAGTAAAAAGAATAATAATAACAACTTGATTGCTTCTCACGAATCGGAGTGTTTGATTATTGTAAGTCCTCTCGCCTTTTACAAGTCAGAGTGCTTGAAGTAAAAATCGAAATTTAATACGCTTGCTAGATTCTCTGTTTGGTTGGATTTAGGCGTGTTTATTTGTGTTATAATATGCGAGGATATTCCCGCGTGTCAAATATGTATAATAATTCCGAAAACTAGCGATCTTTTTATTCTCTTTCTATCTCTATTCCTAAGCAGGTATCAGTCCGTTCTTGACCATCTCAAGCAATGTCTTAAAATGTTATATAGCTCTCTGATTGGTTCATGACATCCCAAGCACTAGCTTAAGACATGTCGAATCTTGAGCTATGGATTCCGTCTCTAGAATTGTCTTTACATTGGATTTTCGCGAATCAGTCTCCTTCATTCAAACTTTATGGATTAAGTATTTATCCCCAATTTGTGAGGGACTCAATAATCAAGCACTCCAATTTATGAGAAGCAATAAAGTCAATACTAACCTTATAACTTTTTACTTAAAAATATAGAAAGTACAAATAACGACATAGGAATGCATGGATTGTGAAATAAGATATCATAGTATTAACCTATTTTGAAAAGTGATGTAGATGTCAAACGGTTCATTATAAGAGATCAGAGAGCCTATGGAGACTTTTATCAGGACAACAAGATCTATAAACACATCAAACTTATTCTATCGAGATTCAATTTCCATAAGATTTGTGCGGGATCCTTTGCAATAAAATAAAATAAAATAATTTTATTAATTTATAACATAATTAAAACTTACTGACAATCTTCCTCCGACATTTTCGATGCATCGGTACAATAGAAAAACTTGCCCTACACAACACAAGAAGTTCATCAATTTCGATTGCCGTTAACGTGCCCGTTAATACGGAAAAGAGTAGAATTTACGTAACATGTTAAAGCTGCGGACGACACGCTAGCGTTCTTGAAATTCAATTTGATGCCGTTTAAATATTACTCAAATAGTTTATGTACATACGAGTAATTAATGTTCAATAATTGATCAAATACGAAACATACATAATTAGAAACTCAATAATAACAAAATTCGTTTCGTTGTTGTTACATAATGATAAGATCGGTTTTGTTGCAAGAGAGTTTTGCTCAATATCTTTTGATTGACTCGACGTGATTGATTCTTCTATGTAAAATTAAAATCTCAAAGATCGCCAGCATGACGGGTTACACATCAGCTGTGAATTGGCCATTCTTGCAGTAGCATTGTCAGCACCAGCAACAATGAGATGTGATCGAGCAAAATAAGAGGGTGTTAATGTAAGGTGGTATGGAAAAAAAGGAACATTCCTCGTCGGCACGTGCATACATATGTACAACAAGGTACGGAGCGATGCGTGAGATTCCTCGATGTTTCCGCGACTACGTTCATATTATAAATAAGCGTTTTCGCCACACTTGGTGGTACACGGAGTACATTGAGTGCATAATAAGCACGCTGAGGGAGAGGTGTCGATGAAAACGGGTCCTTCGCCCCTCTCGCCTTGAAATCTGCGTCGCGACCATGTGGACAGAGCGAGACGGTGCAATAATTGCGAGGAACACTCTTCTTAATCTTCCGAAATTAATATATAATCTCCATCCTTATCGCTTGATTTTAAAATTTTGATATCGAGTGAAATGTACGTACGTTTCACTTGATCAAAATTCTATAAAAATAATGGAGAATTAAGTCTTGCATGAACTGACGGTGACATTACGAAGATTGTAAAGCTAGAAACATTAAGCTTTTTAGAATTTAGATTTCTCATTTAAGATTTAAAATGAAATATGATTAAAATTATATCGTAGGCTTATAAATAATAATATATTAATTCTAAATAGCTTTATCGTCAAATCTTGAATGAATTCACGCAGTAATATAATAATATAATAATTACAACATTTATTCATTAGAGAAGATAATATGTCATTTTCCGAAAAAGATGTGCGGAAATATGACGATATTTTCAGTGGACGCTATTATGCACCTCAACGGTTTAAAGGGCTGTAATCTATATTACGCGTAATGCGCGCCCTGTAATGTAATCGTCATGTCTTCGTGACCACTCCATTATCCGTCCAACATGGCGCGCTCGCGTGGGCTCGGACACGATATGGGAAAAAAGCACGAACAATGGGCCACCGTGACGCGCCAAATTGTACTAATTGCTTACGTAACACGAGCTGGTGCGGGCCAAAACATATTGAAACAACACACAACCCACCCATCTCTACTAACAACAGGATGTAGCTGATGATTTTGCGATTGCTCTCCCTCCCACCCTTTTTTCTTGACTCTCTCTTTCTTTTTATAGTCCATAATTGCTTGCAAGTAAAAAAGCACAGGCATCGTACGTGTCGCGGCTCGTGCAGAAGCAGCACTATTGCCGTATTCGCGACATATATATAAATATCTTTTTTGTTCTCTTATCTCGTTAATTTCTCTTCTTCTATATACGTCGTGTCAGACTCAGATATCGTGCGTCACGTACTTTTTTGCATACATTGATAAAAAGCGACTTGTGTACGTGGGAATATTTATATAAAAATAAAACATTTCTGCGGCTTATAGAATAGACGATCATTATAAGCAACATTAAAATATTCATCGAATATTATCAAGCAACGTTTACGTTGTCTAAGAAAAATACCGACAAATTTAATTCACTTTCCCACAATGTTACTCTTCTCTCTCTTTAATAATTATTAGAAAAATCCTAATAAATTATTAATTTCAATATTTTTTTGTAACTATTGCTCCAATATTAACTTATTATTAGGAGATATATTATCTCGCAATTTTGTTTTTTGGTCGAATATTTTTTCATATTTTAATAATTTACTAATTTTCTTAATTAGTTTTCGTCTTCGCAGTAAGAATGTTACGACATATGCATAATTTAAAAAAACGATGAAATTAAAACAAATCCGTGAACTTGAAATTTTCGCGAATAATTACGAGTATATATACTAATTAATTTCGACATGTGATGCATTAGATGTTCTGTTCAACATCAACGACCCAGTTCTCTCTATTTTATCTCTACTTTTATCACCTTGCTAAGAAATCATATTTAATTAACTGTTCCATCCAACTGCAATAATATTATATTTTTCGTATACTTTGTTACATATTATTTATCAAATGGCTCTTTGTCAAATTCAATATTTCTCCTAAATATAAAAAGAGTTTCAATATACATAATATAATTTCTATAAAATTCATATTTTCTGGCAATATAATATCCTCGTGGAATTATCCGCGAGGATGTCAGTTTGAGTATAGCTACGCATATACTCGCGATCAAGATAGACAGGAATGTGAAAATTCCGCGGCTTGTAAATTCGGTTATTACTTTTCTCATTTTGTATTTTAAAACGACCGTTTGCACACTTCATTTTGGCATCCGAAATGAAAAAAATAAAAATTATTCGAAGTCTCATGCAACACGTTGGACGAACCGTAACCACGAGCATGACTTTAATCCATGTTAAATATCCTCGTGTTAGCGATTTACATCATCATGAAGCATACTTATTTGCAACATTAATAATCCTGGATTCACACTGCGATATCCGATGTTCGATGTTCGATATCCAATAAAAGAATTTATCTCCCGGAGACAAAAATATCGCTAACTAGAATCGAATTTTCTTATTGGATAGCATATCGTCGTATGTCGAATATCGTATGTAATATGAATCCACCAAGCATCCTATTCGGGGAAGCAGAATGACAGTAATTTGTCGTACGCTGCATTTAATCGAGATTCAGAATTTCAATAGAGTCTGCAATTCCACAAAAGCGATATCGATTTTAAAATAACGTTCATGAAGATCCATACGAGCGTTTATGCCGTCGCGAATTTCATTCCGCTTCCGTTGTGTGAATATGAATGTATGTAACAAAGTCGGCAGAATTTTGCGCAAAATATGTAGAAGTACGTCGGAACTTCTATATGTACATCTAAGGGAAGTTACCCGCTAATGCGTCTCGAGTCTTGATCGAGTCGCATGTGAGTAACTTTAACGCTATTTCATACTTTGCGACTGAAAACACACTATGAAACACAACGCTGTCTTGTGAACATCTGTGTCTCTACAGCTGCTGGTACAATCTATCTTTCGTCTAAGTTCCTAAGTTCAGCTTTACAATGTCTATTCTTCCTCGTGAAATCGTGTGAGTTGTGGAGAAAACTGTGTCTAGTCGTGACAAAGCGAGACGAACGATTATCCACACACCACATTTTCACAATAAAAATTTATAAATCAAATTTCAAGTGAGACAGATCGAAATTGTTGTGAAATTATTTTTGATAATTTTTATAAAGATGCGTTATAAATGTTAATTCAATATGTTTTTATTAATCAATATTCAAATAACTCAACAATCAAATAATTTATTGATAATAAAGAGTCTTCATTAATGATAACTCCATTTTCATTTTGTTATTAATGGCAATTTGCTATAATTTAATTAATACTATTTTATCGGATGCCGTTACATCGCCAAAGTTCGCCTCGTTCTGTCACATCATCACGTGTAACTCGTGGTTTCGGTGCACGTGGATGGCCAGCATGCACTACGACTAAAGCTTCATTCTCACATACAGCAAAACTGACATGCTTGGTTAAGAGGGATGTCTATCTTTAAACGGGGGAAAGGGGATACAATATGGCGATATATGATATGCGTATCGTTGATTGTGTGACGAATAAATATATATACAAAAATATAGATATATATATATATATATATAT